CTCTGTCCGTGTTGACGTGGAATTTCCCTTATTTATATCAAATATGCAATTATTTTTCATAATTAATTATTTTAATTTAGACCAATATCTCTTTAATTGCGTCAAATAATTATTTATGTAGTCATTTAAATAATTTTTTATCTATATATTTATTTGATTCAAATAACTTGAATTATGCGAATATACGAAACTTTTTTCTTAGAAAATGCAGGTTGGCAATAAACTTAAACCAAAAGAATTTAAAAAATTTGAAACAATCTTATAAACCCCTTCGCTGTTTGGAAAAATAATCATATGATTGGCCCAAAATGTTCAGCAAAATCTGGTAGATGAATTTTTATGAAACTTAGTATACAAGGGTTTTTGGGGTCGCTGAATATAAATATGACGTCAAAAAAAATTCAAAATGGTGGATCCAATATGTCGGACAAAATTTTTAAATTTTAAACAGATATTATAAACAAAAAAAACAAAGAACAGAAAGTGTAATGTAAAACCTTTGCAGCCTCCACGCGGGACATTCTGGTGTCATGATTCGTTTTATCAGCTAATGCAAAGGATATAGAATAGAGTACAAAATTTGATAAAAATCGGGATGAATTAAAAAAATTACGTCCCTCATTTTGAATTCATAATTTTTTATTTTGAAAGACAAATTTAAATTCAGCGACCCAAAATATCCCTAGATACTAAAATTGATAAAAATCCAAATGAATTAAAAAAATTTTCAAAAAGTATGTCCGCCGATTTGAATCCTGCATTTTGAAGTTTTACAAATGATGGTCAAACTTTGCGTTCGCGAACGACTTTCGCGAACCTATTGTGCTTAGGCCTTAATGATGTGCACCGTCGAAATTGTCCGGTACACACCATTAGAACTCGACTGTCGATAAACCGGTTGTACTCAGGAGAGGTTTTCTACAGTTTCCCTCTCCACTGGCAAGAAAACCCATTAGACGGGTGGTCCAGGCGGAATGCGAGTACTCCTAATAAAGTCGGCTGTAGACGCAAATTAGGTTAATATATAGAAAATTTCTAAGTAGAATGGTTATGCTTAATCCAAAAAGTATTTCTCGGGGACTCTTGTCGAAGTGCGTAAGGCCAATACTGCCGTCCAGAGGAAAAAGATACATAAGCGACATTTTTGAAAAAATTGAATTTTTGGTATCATTGGATTCATAAAAAAAGCTGCATTTACTGTGTAAAAAAGAATTAAAAAATTTAATTATTTATTGTAAAAAAAGATTGTTTAAAAATGACAAAAATGGAAAAAGTGACGAAATACAGAGTTAAAAGATACATAAAACACTTTGTGGGTTCATATTTCGGTAAACGACGCTGCATACGTCACCAACTTACAGGACAAAATGATACACAAAGTCGCTTATGTATCTTCTTACTCGGTAAAGGAGCCTGAGAGTGAGCTGACTTTACAGACTAAAAGAAGCGACTGTTTTTCGACTGTCTTTATGTATCTTTTTCCTCTGTAAAATGGTCTGACAGTGAGTCGAGTTTACAGAAGAAGAAAAGCGATAATGTTACTACACAGGCTTAGTTCTTTTACATTATGTCGCTTATGTATCTTTTTCCTTTGGACGGCACCGCTCAGCTCGAGTAAGTTTACCGAGAAATAAACATAAGCGACTTTGTGCTTTTATTCGTCTGTATTTATCACTACTAGAAACCCGTATATCCATTTTACAATAGAAATTGTTTAAAAAATTAATTTTTTTTACATAATGAGAAGCAGAATATTTTTTTATTAAATATTGATCAAAAATTTTTTTAAAAAAGTTAATTTGAATTATAGTTCCGGAGGCAAAAAGTTTTCTTTGATTTTCTCGGATTGATGGTAATGTCGCTTATGTATCTTTTTCTTTTGGACGGCAGAGTTCCGCAGTTAAAATTGTGGTTACCTTTTTTGAAAGATTGTCAAAATTCGTAGTATTTTATAAATTGAAATTTTTATTAAATATGAACAAAGCTGATTTAATTAAATCTAGAAAAGGAAATTTTTTGCATATAAACGGGTCAACGTATAAGAAAAGGAATTGATCGGAAAAGAAGAAATTATGAGAAACAACTTATAACTGTTGTACAAAAGTATAGAGATTACGATGATGATAATGATATATACGATCTTACTTACAGACTGTTGGATATCACATAAAATTTTAGCTGTCATAAATAAGTAATTAAATTATTCAAACTTTTTGGGAAAATTGTCTTTAGGAAAAGTTTTTTTGGGAAAAAAGATTTTTGAGAAAAGAAATCGTTGGGAAACTTGTTTTGGAAAAAGTGTCCTACAATCAATATTTTTATTTCCGGTTGCAGAATTATTTCTGAAAAATAGAAAAATTAGTAAAAATTCGAGTTCAATATTTAAAGTTTGAGTTTCAGTGAATAAGTTTTTTTTAAATAAAATTGTTGTATAATAATTGTTGCAGAATTATTTTTGTGAAATAAAAAAGTTAGTAAACAATATTCGAGTTTAGATTTAAAATTTGAGTTCCAGTGAATAATAATTATTCACTGGAACTCAAATTTTTAAACAATTATTGTTTAAATTTAAAAAAAAAGGTTCGTTTATTCATTACATAAATATGCAAATTGTTTAGAATTTATAATGACAATAAAGCTAATAAAAGTATATATGTGACTGTCCACGAGAAAACAAGGCTTAGCTCCCAAACGTGAATTTCACAGGGCGAGCGATTGAAGTACTACGATTGAAGTTAACTACGCTTGACATACCCATCTTTAAAACGATATATTGTCGAAAGTAATTGATATTTTTAACTTCTGACTTTTGCATTTGAAAAAGCAACATAAAATCTGTCGATTACCATAAAAAAATCAAAATTGATTTTTTGGACCTAAGCCTTGTTTTCTCGTGGACAGTCACATATGGGGCATTCCAGGCCAAATCGGAAATCATTTTGCTTTTGCATCTCAAATCTTTTTTAAACATTTTTTTTCTTTTATTACTCTTTCAAATGAGGTACCTTGATTTTTTTCAAATTTTTTCATAAAGCTGTTCAGGAGATACAGATTTTTGAAACATGACGTTTTTTACGAAAATTTTTTCTTTAAATGCTTATAACTCGGTCAAAAATTGATCAAATTGGACGTTTTTATAATGAAAAGTTTTGTTTTCCCGCGTAGTTTTTAATAAAAATATTAAAAAAAATTTTTTTTAAATTTACTATAAGATTTTAAAATTTTTTAAATAAAATTTCATTTTTAACAATGTATGTATCGATCAATTTTTTTCAAAATTTTTTGTAAGAAACTAGCACTAAATTAACGATTTTTAAGCCTTGTCCGATCGTGGCCAATAATGGGATCTATTTATTTAAAAAATTTTAATTTTTATATTGGCAATAAAAATTACCACCGCGGGCTCGGTGTCGCTAGTGTTTTACACCAAAAATGGACGAAATGGGTGTACAAATTTAAAAAAATATAAACTTATATTGTTACTTTTCTGTTTTAATTTTAAGTAGTTTTTCAATAAAAAGATAAATAATGACCAACAATCTTAACAAATATTTCTTAAACATTAGAATACTTTAAATATTAACATTTTTTGCAACCTTGTACACCCACAGTAGCCATTTTTTTTAGTTCACGTTATGGTCACTATGTGTCGCATTGCAATTTTAAATCCCCAATACACAGTGCAAAACGGTAGGCCTAACTTGCCATTTGACCAAATCACAATTTTACACAGAAAGAAGGTTAAGTTTGGAGAGACTCAGTCTGAAAACACATTTGCTGTCAAAAATTTGTGTGATTTTGTCAAATGGCATAAGTTAGGCATTTGGCCACCACTGCGTATATAAAAATTAAAAATTTCAAAATAAATAGATCCCATCTTTTTTGCCCACGATCGGACAAGGCTTAAAAATTGTTAATTTAGTGCTAGTTTCTTACGAAAAATTTTGAAAAAAATTGATCGATACATACATTAATGTATGTATCGACAATTGAGGAGTCGGGAAGAAGAATTTTCAATTTTCAATGTTCAGCGTTGGCACTTATACTTGCGTTACGCTGTGTATATACGGCCATGACCTGGTGACTTCGGGAAGAAGAACTCGCCGAGAGCTCCAACGCATGCGTTAATATCAGCCGAGTAGCAGTGACAGGCCCAGAGGCGCTCACTGCTTCCCGACTATGATATTAGAGAATACGTTTCCGCGCTCGGCGAGTTCTTCTTCCCGGCTCCTCAATTAATGAAATTTTATTTAAAAAATTTTAAAATCTTATCGTAAATTATTTAAAAATTTTTTTAAAATATTTTTATTAAAAACTACGCGTGAAAACAAAACTTTTCATTATAAAAACGTCCAATTTGATTCATTTTTGACCGAGTTATAAGCATTTAAAGAAAAAATTTACGTAAAAAACGTCATTTTTCAAAAATCTGTATCTTCTGAACCGCTTTATGAAAAAATTTGAAAAAATTAAGGTAGCTCATTTCAAAGAGGACTAAAAGAAAAAAAATGTTTAAAAAAAATTTGAGATGCAAAAGCAAAATGATTTCCGATTTGGCCTGGAATGCCCCATATGCAACTTCTATTTATCTTATATCACTTTCTTATCTGTTTATTTTTGCTATTATATATACCTACATTAAGCTTATCAATATTTTTGTTTACTTTATTAGGTCTATTTAAAATTTCTGCTATATTTCGATAAAGTTTTTGTGCAAATAAAATTTAAATTATTTTAGCAAATCTGATAAAATTATAATTATAGAAGAAAGAAACGAACTGACAGAAGGTTAACGGACTTTGTTTTGAACAAAATTTTATTTTTCTATGTTTTCATTGTTTATTTTTTTATATCCTTTGGAAATAAGTTGATAACAAATTAAAGACTGTATATAATTACAATATGATAATTTCATTTTCACAGAATAAAAAAGAGATTAAAAATATTTGTTTTACTGTCAATATTAACAATTTGAATAATGTAAACAAAGCATGGTTTACCAATTTATAGTTTCCTGCACATTAGGTTTGATAACTTTTTGTTTCGGAAAGTTTGCTTTACAAATTGCAGTGGAATTTCCTCAATATTTACAATTGTTGTAGGTAAATGTAACGATGGTAGTAATAAACAATTAATTGTTAAAAAGTATCATCTGCTTTCGAACAACTTTCAGGAACACATGCTGACATGCAACACAGAATGAAAACAAATATAGCAGACGACATTTTTCTTAGTTCGAAACTTTCACATTGTGGCGCTGCAATCTTAAGCCTAGATTAAGAATTAAGAAATGCCTGTGGACTGCACCTTATACTACTTTATGTATTCAATGCTAGCAGCTGTCGTCACTTTTGTGCCTTTTTGTGGTTTTTGTAAATAAATAGTGGTTGTGATCAACATTAAAAATGCAAAACTTGTACGTGTATTGCAAAATACGTCCTACATTATGCGATTGATAATTTAATGTTTAATATGCAGAGAATATTTTTAGATTAAAGTATACCATCTGTAAGATTGAGGTTAGTTTTTATTTTCTTTATTTGTTCGATATTCTTTTGTTTATAATTTTGTACACTTGCTATTATTATCACTTTCATTGTTTTTCTTCTATTATCAGATAATATATTACCCTCTACATGCATATTTCCAAGTATGTATTGAATTACTCGGGTTTCTTCGATTTTTCATTATTTTAAATCCAATCAATTTTACGCTTATATACAATGCAAAATGCAGTATAATAATATATATTTTTTAATAATGATAAAGAATTTGTTTAAAATTTAATTATTCGTTGCAGCAGAAAAATGTCTAACTCAGAATCCGGTGTTGGTTGTGTTAGTGAGGTAACACTTGCTATTAGTAAAGCAAAAAATTTACAAGGTGGATCACTTCGAGCTTTAGATAGTCCTGATTCTGATTTATCGGGACATTCAAATTCGTTTACAGTACAAAGCTTTAATTATCCGGAAGAAGCGAATTTAAATGGTAATCCAGAATCATTTCAAGGACCAGTTTTGACTGAAGACTTAAGAATACCAATTGTTGGATACGAAGTTATGGAAGAGAGGGCCAGATTTACAGTAAGTTGATACATTTATTTACAGTAAAATAAATTAATAATTTTTAATAGTTAAAATTTTATGTTTTCATCAGGTTTACAAATTAAGAGTAGAATTAAAAGGTGGAGATTGTTGGTTCGTTTTTCGTCGTTACACTGATTTTGTTCGATTGATGACACAATTACGAAGACAAAAAATTCCAATAGCTCATTTAACATTACCTCGTAAAAAATGGTTGGGTGATAATTTTGCTCCGAGTTTTCTTGAAGAACGAATACGTGGTCTTCAGACTTTTGTTAATGGATTATTAAGTTCATCGGAACTTTTATTGGCTCCATGTGTTCGAGAATTTTTTTGCCTTGATGAGCCTCCAACATTGTCCGACACTGTCGAAGAATCGAGAGTGAGTTCAAAAGAATTATTATTATTGCTCATCAAATTTATTTTCATTTCTCAATTTAAAATTAAGTGAAACTAAATTTACAATTATATGAAACAAAATTTACATTCACATGGAACAAAATTTACACTTAGATGAAACAAACTTACAATTAAATGAAACGAAATTTACAATTAACGAAACAATATTTATATTTAAAATTAAAAAAGAAAGATTTTCAATTCACTAATTAGAAAAAATATTTTTTAAGGCTATTTTTGAAGCTCTAGAGGATACAATATATCAATTGAGACAACAGTTGAGAGAAAAAGAGGCTGCCCTTGCTTTAGAGACGAATCTCAATAACGAACTTCGAAATAATTTTCAAAAATTGTTACAGTAAGTAAAAGTCCACTTTTAAATGAGTTGAAAAAATAGATATAATATAAGTTTCATTTTTCAGAGAAGCAAAATTATGTTCAAAATGCAATGAACCAATTTAAAAAAAATCACAAGACGTCTTCTTATTTGATTATCAAGAAAGCGATAACTAAAGGTCATTAGACGAAAATTTCAACCTTGAGCAACAAAGCCAACAAGCGTGAGACAACAGAATGAATGTGAGTGTGACTATTTTATTAATATATTTAAATATAAAGAACAATCACTAAAAAATTAATATTTTTCTTGCAAAAAAAAAGAAGAAAAAAAAAATAGAACGATGTAAATATTATATTTTTTATGATAAAAATTCTCATCGTATTATAAGAATCCAAATGATATTGATTACGATCTGTAAATATATTTCTGAAAATTGTTTTTAGAATTTATGACAATTCTAAAAACGAAGAGAAAAGAAAGTGAGAAAGAACAATAATTTCTTTGTAAATCAAGAGAAAAAAAATTTTCAAAAGATTTTCTTTACGATTTCATTTTAGATGATACTTAAAGGTAATTGCTACAGTTTGTAGATAAGCCGTGGCCTTTAATAATATTACTAAGCAATTAAAAAAAAAATTGCGTTTAAATTGTTTCAATATACAATTTTTCTAAAAACTATTTTTTAAACAAACGATTTTGTAAACAATTAATAACTTATATTTTAAAATGCAAAAGTTATGTAAACGTTTTTAAAAAATTTAAATTAGAAGACTGATAATTGAAAACTTGTAAAATGGGATCTTCGTTAGACTAATAAGACTTTTGAAATTAAATTTTATTTTTATTTTTTTTTCAACTAAAAATTTTAAAATTGCTGTAGAAGAAAAGGGAAAAATGGAAATTTTTTTTTTTTAAATTAGTACAATTTTTTTATTTTTATTTATTTATATTTATCTTTAGAAATATTCTATTGAATTAAAAACATTAAAAACTATATTTACACGATTAGCAAAAAATTAGATTTATAAAAACTTTATAATTTAGACTTATAAAAAAAAGCCTTCTCATGTGATGAAAATGTGAAAATTTACAAACTGAATAATTTGATTTTGAATCTCGATCGAGTGAAAAATGTGAAAAACGAATAAAGAGTAAATATCGAAAATACAAAAAAATCACAAAAAATTAAATAGTGATATTATGTAAAATTTTCTAATTTATAATTTTATAAAAATATATAGTGACAAAAAAAATTATATTTATATTTTGTCGCCTGTTATATTTAAAGAAAAATGAGCACTTTATTTATTTGTTAACTAATGATATAAGTGTAATTCGGTTTTGATCAAAACCGTGCCAATAATGATCTGATATGAATTTTTACGAAGCTACGATTGTCATTTTTATTAATAAGAAAACCGTTTCACTTAATATTTTTTTAAATGGTGAAACTTATTTACTATTGTAGTTTAAAACTATATTTTTCAGGGTTAAAGTTATTAAATAAACTCTTTATAAAAAAAAGATGCCGAGAAGTGTTTTTAATTCTTCTTTGTGTTTTTTTTGTTCCAAGTTTTTTGGATTTTAATATTGCGAAATAATTCGTAAAAAAAATATGTACATTTCAAGGTTTTGTAAAAAAACCTTAATCATCATAACTGGAGTAAAAGTCATCACTTCACAATAATGTTTTTCCTATTCGATTAAAATTTTTTAATTATTTTAATTTTTTATTTCACTGTTTGGCAGATTTGATTTTTCCGGGCTAGGTAGAATCTCTTTTTTTTTATTCTGCGTGTCACTTTCCTCCTCAGACGGGACCACTAAGCACAAGATTTGCACCAGATAGGTGAGTTTTTCTAAAAGAAAATATTTATCTTAATAATTATTTTTGAAATTTGATTTTGAATTTAAAATTTGAAATTTGAAAACTGATAATTAATAATTAATAATTTAATAATGTAATTTATAGATTAAAGAATACCTGAAAAGTTATTTTTGACTTTCTTGAATACGAAGAAATGGTAGATTCCAACGCCGATGAGAATGAAGATAACAGCGAAAAAATATTTAGGCGATGGCTCTTTGATAATTGGAGCAATGACTAAAAATATTGCAATAAATAGAACAAGCCAGGGAATGGCAATTGGCACAGCGTAAGGTCTTTGAGCGTCAGGTTTTGTTTTCCTCATGATAATAAGTGCGATCATTGCCAAACCATAAAAGACCCAGGTGAGGAAACTCGCGAATTCGATTAATTCTATGATATTTCCCACTAGAATGCAAAAGAATGCCAGAATGCCCTGAAGAGCAACAGCAGCGGCCGGTGTCATTTTACTGTAATGCACAAAACTGAAAAATCTCGGAACATGTCCCTCGCGTCCGGCGACATAACACAATCGTGAAACGCCAAATTGAAGGCTCAAGCAACATCCAAAAGTGGAGAAAGCAACACCCAGGGGAATAGCAATCGCAAGCCAAGGAGGCAGTACTTTATTAGCCCAGGAAACTGCAACGGCATTCGATGAAATCATTTCCGATATCGGCAACACCGACATGTACATCAAATTCATCGTCACATAGAGTAATGTAATCGCAGGCACGGCAATTAAAATACTCCTAAGAATATTAATTTCAGGTTTCTTCACTTCCTCGGTGACTATTGTTGCCGATGTCCAGCCATCGTACGCCCAAAGACCACTGTAGAACGCCAGGGCAATATTTCCCGGCGACGATGTTGTTCCCCTAAATGGATTGTTTAATAATTCAGTGTTTCCTTTCGCCAACCAATAAATACCGCCGGCGATTATTAAAAGGCACGCCGCTACTTTGAGAATAGTGCAGGTATTCTGAATCTTCACGTAAAGTTTCACGCTACTTAAATTTACGTATGTCACTATTGCGAGACCCATAATTGCAATTAATTTTTTTAGCATTTGCATCGACTCGGGAGAAATGTCGGGCATCAGGGTGATGAAGGGCTGAATGGCGTAGTCGGCGAATGTGAGAATAACAACGGCCACTTCTGCTGGACGTAGAATTGTCACGTACACCCAGGAGCAAATGAATGATGGCAATTGTCCAAAATAAGCGTGTAGCGGCCCAAAGGCATCGATGAAGTATGCGTATTCGGCGCCGGAACGTGGAACCACTGCACTCAATTCGGCGAAAGCTAGAGCACCGAGAAGTGACAGGAAACCGCACACCATCCAAATTATTAGACAAAAGCCTATGGATCCTGATCGTTCAAGGGCACTTGTCGGTGATACGAAAATACCCGAACCTGTAAGTTTCAAAATGCAAAATTTTACTAAAGACGAGTATTTCAAAAAAAGAAATTAAAAACAAGCCAGGCAATTTTCGAAACTATTTCTAATTATTGTTGCTCAATTTTGTAAAAATTCTCTATTACACTAAACAAAATTTTTCACTTTCAATAATTTAATTTTTTAGAAATTAATTTTTTAAGGGAATAAATTCCTATAGAATTTATTATAATGGAATAAATTCCTTTAGAAAATTAATCTCTTAAAAATTATAGCTAAAAAAACTGAAAAACTGAATTAAAACAAATTACCTATTGAATTTTAATTTTAAATTTATTAATTAAAATACAATTAAAATTAAAATATTGAAATTAGAATATTCAAATTAGACTACTAAAATTAGACTATTAAAATTAAAACATTAAAATTAAAAATATTAAAATTAAAAGATTAAAATTGGGGGACAAAAGTTCCAAAACAAAAGTTTCAAAGACTGAAAGGTCCAAAACTTCATTTTTCCAAAGACAAAAAGTTCCAAAACTTCATTTTTCCAAAGACAAAAAGTTCCAAAAGTTCTTTTTTCTAAAGACCAAAAGTTCCGTTTTTTAAAACCGTCATTGAATTAACACTTGAAGTGGGACATTTAAATTTTTACTCAATTTTCACTAAACTTTACAAGTAAATTTTTCCAAGTTTGCAAGTAAATCTTTAATAAACTTTTAGAAAAGTTTCGGTGCTGTGTGGGCATATACAATATATGAAATCATATTGGTACTTTGGTATTTTAACACTTTTTTATTTTTGAACTTTTGTCTTTTGGTACATTTTTATTTTGAACCTTTTGTATTTTGGAACTTTTTCATTTTTGAACTTTCCGATTGGAACATTTGGTTTGGAACTTTTTATTTGGAACTTTTGACCTACAATCAATTAAAATATTAGAATTAAAACATTAAAATTATTAAAGTATTAAAATTCAAACATTAAAATTAAAAATATTAAAATTAAAACTTGAGAAATATGAATAGAATATTTAATTTTTCCATAATATTATTATCAGTTTAGTAATTGTAAATAATTAAAATTTTTCAAATACAATTATTATTCAAATTTACAATAATTTTCATCATTCATTTACTGATTTACGTCACTTCTGTTTTGTGGATATAATATAATGTAAATATACGTATATAAAAAGCAAAAAAATAAAAAAAATTTATAGTAGCCAAATTGAAAAGAGATTAAAATGATTAAAAAAGTGTAAATAAAAATGACGACATAGAAAAAATTCGTCATTGTTTAGGGAAAGCATTGGAATTATTTAATATAATTGAATTTTAAGGTCGTTAATGAATGGTGAAACTTTGTTACAATTAGTTTTGCATAATTATTTCATTTGAAATTAAATGTTGCCTTGGTCTTATTTTCAATCACTTTTTTTCATAAATTGCATGTATTATTTTAAATTAAGTTAACAATTATTTACAAATTTTTATTATTATTGTTATTAGTATTATTAACATTATCATTACTTTTCTCATTAATAATAAATTATTATTATTATTATTATTATTATTATTATTATTATTATTATTATTATTATTATTATTATTATTATTATTATTATTATTATTATTATTATTATTATTATGTTTATTATGTTTATTTTTGTTTTATTTTTATAATAAGAAAAAATAAAAAATTGAAAATTTGTTATTCATTAAGAAAAGAATATTTACAAAAGTTCCAAAACAGAAGTTCTAATCGAAAAGTTCTAAGAAAAAGTTTCCAAAAAGAAAAGATCCAAAATTTATTTTTTCACAGTACAAAAGTTCCAAAGCCCAAAATGTCCAAAATATAAATTTACCAAAGTATGAAACCAAAATAAAAAGTGTTGAGTTGTTAAATAAGTGAAAAGTATTGGAGTTGTTTGAAAAAATAAGGCATTTTCAATATTTCACATTATTTTTTCCATCTGAATGATTGTAGTACAGAAATCCTTCGATACGTACATAATTTTCTTCCGACTTGTATTAATTCTGCCATAATTAAAATTTACAATATTTAATATAATTTCACTGTTCACTATTTTATAATTTAAATAAAATTTTTACTTTCACTAATAATTTACAATTTAATATAATTTCACTGTTTACTATTTTTTAATTTGAATACATTTTTTAATTTTACAACATAATTTTGGAATAAGCACACGTCGAATGACAATTTATAAAAATAACAACGATAATAACTGAAAGTTTCCTGACTTGAAATTGCACTTTGAAATTTGAAAAATAAAAAAAACAATGTTTGGAAATACGACTACCTATTGGAAAAATAATACTTTGGAAAAAATGTCATTAAGGAAAATAATAATTTGGGTCCTTCGGAATCGGAACTTTTGTTTTGGAACTTTTGACTTCATACCATCTCTGTTAGTACACGGTAGCAGTTATTTAATCCACGTGGGAAAAATTTACGAACATAATTTGTTATAGCATGATTGTCACTCATGAGTGAAGCTTATTAAATATTTCGTCAAGCTTTGTATGAATCGTGCCCCAGAGAAATGATTTAAGTTCCTCCTTATCCTTTTATTTGAACTAATCTGAGCTAATCTGTTGTGAATCACTTCCTATGCATTAATTGTTGTATCAAAAAATTATTATATATTTTATTTTTATTAACAATTTTTTCTATTTTGTCAATTTTATTAATTTTATTAATTTTATCATTTTTTGTTTATTTATTAATTTTCTAAATATTCGAATTACTAATTGAAATTACATTTTATGGGGAAAATTTAATTTGTCAGAAATTCTGATTTCTTAAAATTAATAAGAATTATTTTGCTCCAAGTGTTTATTCATTATTTCATAAGTAAATTATATATTAATTAATTTATTATTTGTTTATTTGAAAGTGTTTATTATTTATTGAAGTATAAGAAAATATTTATGTAATAAAAATAAATGATTTGACTAAAAGGTTATAGAGTCGAATGAATAATATTCCGTGCAGTTAATAAATTAATTTAAATTATGACTAAAAGGTTATAGAGTTTAATGAATAATATTCCGTGCAGTTAATAAATTAATTTAATTAATAAGCATGTCATAAAGATGAAAAATTATTAAATATACATTAAAATTTTTTAGATATAATAATAATGATAATAATAATAATAATAATAATAATAAAATTAGTAATAATAATAAAAAAATAATAATACAGAAATTTTCTTTTCCTTAAAAATGTGAGATAAAGTGTAAAAATTAAATTTTATTCTCATTAATTTCATTTATATATCAAACTTAAGGAATGTAATTTTAAAACAATCGGTGTGACGATTGCACGTGTAGTTATGCTTATAAAAAATCTCACCTATCATTACAGCAACAATTAAACTCACTGCACTGAACAAGCCTAATTCCCTTTTAAGGCCCACTGTTTCCTTTTTTTCATTATTAACCGCTGTCATGATTAATTTTTTTTTAATTGATATTCTATTTTACAAATAAATTAATTAAATTTATTAAAATTTGTTTTTTTAGAAATTCAGTATTTCAAATAATTGTATTTAATTAACGAAATTATCATTTTAAATTTATTTTCCTAGTTGAATTAAAATTAAACACGATGTTTAAACTTTTATATTCGAAAATAAATGTTTTAACATTCAAAAATAAATATTTTTACATTCGAAAATAAATATTTTTACATTCAATAATAACTATTTTGATATTTAAAAATAAATATGTATATTTACATTTATTAAAATTTTTATTTACTAAAACAATATTTTATTAAAAAATTTTTTTTAAGTTGATTAAAATTTCCTATTAAAAATATATTCTTTTTAAATATTATTATTAGAATAATATATTTTGTAATTCTGTAGTTTAATGCTGATTTAACATTTTAAATGATTTTATGTTATCATTATCCGATAGTAATTAAAAATAATTATCATTGTATCATGTTGAAATTAATGGTATTTTTTAAAATTGATTTCCAGTGAGCCGAGAAAATTCGATAGATAAAAAAAACGAAATAAAAAGAAATGACGACGAACTTGTTCATTCAACATGCAAGAAGAAACTAAGCGTCTTGTAGAATTGACACCGCAACTGTAAGTAAAATATCCCACTGCTTTACGTATATACATATGATCTTCATTAGTGTTAAGTGATAACTCAAGTTCTTATATTTATTCTCAAATTAGATTATTAGTTTTGACTTTAACGCTTAATATTATCTAAATGGGCCAGTTCGAAATTTAGAAAAAAAATTTCATTCATGTCTTATATACTATTTAATTTTTTTCCATTTTTTATTTTACTCTATTTTTATTTTTAAAATTTCTTCATTAATTTAATTATAAAATAATAATAATGATTATTATTATTATTATTAGAATAAAATAGTAATAATAAATATTATTATAATAATAAAACAGTAATAATAATTAGGGGCCGTACACATAATACGTCACGCGATTTTTAACCATTTTAGACCCCCCATGTCACACACTGTTCCATACATTAGCGCCATTTTTTCTATAGGTCGTCACAAATGTCTTGACCCCCCCCCCTCCCCCTGTTCGCGTGACGTATTATGTGTACGGCCCCTTATTATAATTATAACTATTAATGATAATACCTAATAATTATATAAATAAGAATAAAATCTTATTTGGGGCCATCCATAAACCACGTAGCCTCTTGAGGGGGAGGGGGGGTCAAGCAATTGACTACAAGAGGAAAAAATGGCGCTAATACATGTAATAGTGTACTACATGGGGGGAGGGGGGGTCAAAATTACCCAAAAATGGGGCTACGTGGTTTATGGACGGCCCCTTTGACATAATAGTCAATTTACATAAAACCATTTACCATAAATTTCATTTGACAAAAAATCTATTTATTACATTTCATTAAACATACAATTTATATTGCACACTGAAAAAAAAGTATTGAACCAAGAAAATTTTTCTTGGTTGAAGCAAATCGTGGGATTGAATACGGCCAAGACTATTAAAGTATTGATTCAAGAAAACGATTTTCTTGACATAGGATATTTGGGAGAAGAACATATATTCTTGATCCAAGAAAATATGGAATTCGACCAAGAAGTTAGTCTTCTTATACGAAGTATGAAATGTATTAAATGAATAAAATATTTTCTTGTTTTTGTTTCTTGTCTATTCAAGAATTCTGTTCAATGCTAATAATTACTTGACACAAGAAAATGAATTTCTTTCTTCAAATAAATATGGGATTAATTGAATATAATTTTTAATCAACTTGAAACAAATATTTACTTATATTAACCTTCGTATTTTCTTGAATCAGGATTATATGAGCGTTGAATTAAGTAAAAACTTTTTTAAAGGAAACAAAAGAATGATTTAATTCAAGATCTTACACTTAATTGAATTGAATAAATAAAATATTTCATTCCAGAAAATATAACATTCTCGCAAGAAATTAATGATTTTGAAACATGAGAATATAGAAATGCTTCAAGTAAAAGAAATGCTTAGATTAATTAATATTTCTTTGAAACAAAATAATTTTTAATTGAGTTGAAACAATTATTAACTTGTATTAATCTTCCCATTTTCTTGGCTCAAGACTATGGGTGTTGGATGAAATAAATAGTTGCTTTAAAGGAAATAAAAAAATTATTTGACTCAAGATACCAAATGACTCAAGGTAAATTACTTGACGTGAGAACATGATATTCTTGATTCAATACTTTTTCGAGACTTGACGCATGTAAAACAGTTCGTTTGAAACAGTAAGATACTTACTTATGTCAAACCCATATTTTCTTATTTCAATAACTTTGATCAATGCTCAAAATTACTTGACACAAGAAAATAAATTTCTTCCAATAAGAAAATATGGGTTTGTTTCAAATAAATCAGGTCAAGAAAATGCATTTACTTGATTCAATGAACTTTTTTTTCAGTGCATAAATGGCATTTAATATGATATCCTTTTGATATATATATTTCATTAGACATAAAATTTATATTTAACATATATGTCATTTGACATAGAATTAATTCAACATATATTTTATTTGATATAAAAATTATTTAGCTTTTAGCATAATTTCCATGTAACATAAAAATACAATTGACTTGAATTTTATTTCACATAAAAATCACTTGACATATATTTTAATTGATATAAGTTTTATTTGACAGAAAATTAATTTGAGGTAAATTTTGTTTAACATATACGTCATTTGACATAATATACATTTAATAAATTTTATTTTGTCCTAAAATTCATTTGTCATAAATTTCATTTGACATAAATTTCACTCGACATAAATTTCATTTGATATAAATGTCATTTAATATAATTCTCATTATTTAACATAAATTTCATTTTACATAAAGTTCATTTGACATAAAAGACATTTAATATAATTCTCATTTGTCATAAAAGTCATTCAACAAAATTCTCATTTGACATAAAAATCATTTTACACAAATTACATTTTACATAACAATATCGGCGTGAATTTTAAAAGTAACCAATTAGATATTATCAACAACATTGTGATTCGCCAATTTTGAATTTCGCGACTATATTTTCATGTCAAATGATCTTTATGTAAAATGAAATCTATGACAACTGAATTTTATGTCAAATGAGAATTATGTGTAATGACTTATCCGTCAAATGAAATTTATATCAAGTGAACTTTATGTCAAATAAGAATTATGTTAAATGGGATTTAAAACAAATAAAATTTATGTCAAATGATATTTATGTCAAATGGATTTTGTGTCAAATGAGAATTACATTAAATGACATTTATGCCAAATGAAATTTATTTATTTATTTATTTATTTAATAACATAACGGGACATGCCCTTTCGACAGAATATAAGTTTAAAATTTAACGGGAATTTCGTTGAAAATTTTGTTAACCTTTTTTTATTTTCACTTAAGACTGTTAACAATGGTTTGTTGGCATAACCTACATTTGAAACTATATTGTTAAAGGACTTTAAAAATGTCTACCGAAACATTAAAAAAAAACGGACTGAAATTGTACTGGAGGTCAGTACAATTTCAGTACTTTTTCAGTCCATAATTCTTCCTGCAGGGAGTTTCTTCATTTTTAATCGAATTTAACATACCTATAAAATTAGTCTTTAACTATACACTGTAAAAAAAATTTTCTGTAGATTTACAGTTTTGTTTAGAATTTTATAGAAACTTGTAAAATAACTTCTTTAAAAGTAGTGAATTTAAAATCCCTTCTGTAAAATTAATACTTTTAATGTGTCAATTTTACAATTTTCTGTAAATTTACTACTCTGAATGTAGGTAATAAAAAGACAAAAATATTACCTACATTCAGAGTAGTAAATTTACAGAAAATTGTAAAATTGACACATTAAAAGTATTAATTTTACAGAAGGGATTTTAAATTCACTACTTTTAAAGAAGTTATTTTACAAGTTTCTATAAAATTCTAAACAAAACTGTAAATCTACAGAAAATTTTTTTTACAGTGTATAGTTTTTTTTTACACATTCAGTAGTGAATCTGGACATGAAATATCGTTGGAACTGAGGTAAAATATTTGATAAAACTTTACATATTTCGGTGGTGTGAGTAAAATGTATTGTCACTCCGCATTATAGTGTTATAGATATAAAACAAAGAAAAATTATTTGTTTTATATTATTTTTGGATAATATGCAATATTTTTGATTCGAAAATAAGTAAATTATTCTTTTTTTTGTTTTTCTTTGGCAAAAATTAGAAGTAAAATGTATATCTATATACATATGCACGCTTCGCGCATGCGCAGAGCACATGACGCTAGGGATGTTCGATTCTCATAGAATATCGATTTTTGAATCGAATCGGAATCGATTCAAAAGAATCGATTCTTAAAAAGAATCGAAAGCAAAGAATCGATTTTTCTAAGAATCGATGTAAAAATTTTTATATAATAAAAAAAAATTAATTAATTAATGAAAATCATTATTTACATTGTTATTTCATTATCATTCTATTTTATTTAAAAATATATTTACATTTTTATTTATTACTTTTTAGGTACATATTTAAATTCGAAAATTTAAATTATAAATTAAAATCCGTATATCAAGAAAAAAAGAATTTAAGATTGACTACATTTTAGTAACTTTTTATTTTAGTTGCCAATCTTTGATAGATAATGAATTTAGAAATAAAAGTTGTTGTAAATGTTCTGGGGACAATCGACTCCTACAATCTGTCAATATATTTCCTGCCCTAGAGAATAAGCGTTCAGATGGAACCGAAGTAGCAAGAACAACCAAATATTTTTTAGCAATTGTACTAAGAATCGGATAAACTAATGAGTATTCTTTCATCCAGAATGATACTGGATTTGCTGCGCGTTCTAATAAAGGTTGGTCGAGGTAGTGTTTTAGTTCGGTTGCCATTTCCTCTCGATTCATGTCTTGGCTAATTGTGGATCTACTTTGTCGTAAATGGTCGTGGAAAGACCATAAATTATCGTTGTTTTCTCGATTATTATTGTTTTCAAGGTCTATTCATGTGTAATATTTTTACTTTTAAAAACTTAAAAAAGGCGCAAAGAATCGAATCACCGATTCTTACATCTAAAATCGATTCTCAAGAAAATCGAACAGTGCTGAATCGATTCAAAAAATCGAGAATCGACGTCAAAAGAATCGATCTTTTGGAGAATCGAATCGGAATCGAACATCCCTACATGACGCTCCGAAAAGTATTCAAAATGGCGTCACCGCGTGCAAGAAGCACATCGCAGTCGCAGTTTTTTCACTTTTAATTACATTTTATATACATTTTAAATAAAGTTTTTTTTTTACAATTTTCCGTTACTTTTACATATTTAATGGTGAATTTCAATGAGCTGGACTTAAAATATCATCGGATGTAAGGTAATTCTTTATGGTAAACTTTTACATATTTTGGTGGTGAATAAAATGCATTGTCAATATATTGCGCATTGTAGTGTTTTCAAAAAACAAAAAAGCATCATGTGTTTTACATCATTATTACGCGTATTTTTATTATTTTTACGGTAAATATTTTGTTTTATTTGAGGAGTTTAATCCTTCTGCGCGTGCGCGAAAGAAAACAAGATGGTCGCCCAGTGAAAGATTTCAGCTTTCAGTCAGTTGCTTTTGTTATCGAGTTTTATTGTATTGTTTCATTGTAATCGCATTGTTAAAACGGTTAAAAGTACTACAAGAAATAATAATCAATTAGAGGTTAATTGCGGAAAGTCGCGTAAATATTCGTCACTAGAATTGATAAAATCGTAAATTTCGTTGAAAAGTTTCGATAAAAAAATCTAAGTGTAGATCTTTTTTCACTTCTTCTGATTAATAAATTTAAGTCTCTGTTGTTAAATTCCAGGTGACTATGGATAACACAAGACAAATGTATCCAGAAGAGGACGATACTAATTTTTACTTTGAATCCGATCATTTGGCGTTGAAGGGGAACAAGGACTACACGTCTTTTCTCAAAACAATTGTGATACTTGAAGCTCAAAGATCACAGGCGATTGAAGATCTTGACAAATTAGCAATATGTCGTTCCGAGGCAATTAAAGATCCAATTTCGTTTGTTGCAAAATTACAAAATGGCAATGTCGATGAATTTCCGGGCCCACAAACAATTGCTGAAATTCCCTTTGTCGATTGGTCACAGTACAATGTAGCCACACCGGATATGAAATTACGACCACAGACGAGACAAGGAAATATCACTACTAGATCTAATGTTAAAGTCGAATTCGAAGACTCTAAGGTAATTTATTTATTTACCTACTTATTTGAAATTACAAAGCCCGACAATTAAAATATTTGTAGTTTATAAATAAAAATTAACTTAATATTTTATTAGATAAATAATTATATATTAAAAAGTAATAAAAATAATAATAAATAATTATATTGTATGAATATATATTTATATAGATAAATAATATTTTTTATACTGTAAACTAAGATTTTGAATAATATATATGACAATAGGTAATAGATATTTATTAAAATGTTCAGAATCATGTTTATTTTCAGATATTAGTCAGGGGTCGTGCATTTGATGAAAGTAAACCCGAGACTTTCAATCAACTATGGACATTCGAGGAACAAAAACGATTGGAGGAACTTTTAGTAGAATATCCTCCTGAAGAAGTCGAAATGCGACGCTGGACCAAAATTGCCAATGCTTTAGGTAAAAAATATCAATTGGAAACATTTAAAAAAGAAAGTACTTTAAGAATTATAAATAGGAAATTAAAGTACATAACTTTTAATGAAATTGATTGAAATTATAAAACACATAAGTAAAGAAATTTTACTTAATTTGCACGAAATATCAAAAAATAGATTTGTTAAATTTCTTCTTCTTTTGTGCAGGTAATAGAACGCCAAAGCAAGTGTCAAGTCGTGTTCAAAAGTATTTTATAAAACTTTTACGAGCTGGTTTACCGATTCCTGGTCGTGGGCCGAAAGTAAAATTGGACACAAGGAGAAATTTGGCATTTCGAAATCAAAGACAGAGTCAGCAATTTTACAAAAAGTCGACATTCTTTCCACATCAGGAAATTTCCTGTGGTATTGACGATCCGAAAGATCAGGCAGTTCGCGACGAAATTGTACGTAAACATGTTTTTCTTATAATTTTTGTTGTTGTTGAATTTGAATTATTAAAAAATTATTTTTCAGGGCGAAGGCACAGGAAATGGAAGTGAAGATGACAATCCGGAAATAAGACAAATAGAACTTTTACGGCAAGTGAAAGACGAAAAAGAGACAGTCAGTTCCGTCCCATTCGAGCATGTTGGTTACAAGGTAAATGATTATTAAATAAATTAAATTTATATCAATCAAATTAATCAAACTTACGATTTATTATAAATTAATATAAATATTTATACATAATTAAAATGTTTAATTTGATAAATATTTAATTTAATTTATTTATTATTTAGTGTTTACTTTTTTCGCAAATATATTATCGACTTTCATTCATGAATTAAAATTCAATCATTACACAGATAGAAAATAAATATTAAATTTTAAGTATTTTACAATTTGGGGAAAAAATACGAAACAGCGAAATTTTGATATAAAAAAGACTAAACTTCAAAAAGAATTATATGAAATTTAGATATTATTTTATTATTATTAATAATTAGTTATATTAAAATTTAATTAATATTCTTGATATTTGATAAAACTATTTTAAATTTCACATAAGTTCTTCTAAAATTTAGTATTTTTTATATAAAAATTTTGCATTGTCGTATTGCAAAATACTTTTACAAAATTTAATATTTATTTTTTCTTTCCGCGTAATTAAATAAATTTTGTTTTGAGTTTTGAATAATTTAAATTTAATTCTCTGGTTTTGTTTACTATTCTTTTAATTTTCTCACTTGATGTGTGATTAAATAAATATTTTAAAAACAACGTATTTTATTTTGCAGTGCTTTGTGTGTGAGGAGGAACCTTTGAAGGGAACGCGATGGCATTGTACAAAATGTCCAGATGAAGTGGACATGTGCGCCGATTGCGCTGTCGCTCAATTGGAAGCAGAAAATCCCGTTCATGATCCAATGCACGCATTGACTCCAATTCGACCACCAAACTATATCAGAAGCTACGATTTTGATTATCTTCCGCAAGTTTTCAACAGCAATTCCTACAATTATTTGGATCCAAATTTCTGTCCGGAGTAATTTAGGATTTTTTTTTGCCTCCGATTTTCTTTACAGATCGACACAAGTAAGCAATTTTTAAAAAAATTTTAATTCAGAATATATCGCAGGGCTCGAACCAGTGAGAGTATTTAAAGATACGGACTTTACGGACCAAAAATGAAAAATTACGGACCAATTACTGACAAAAATATATAAGAGAACATTTTACTTAAAACTATAAATTAGATTTTTTCATAACTAAAAAACATGAAGATATCGATAACTCCGAGTCTTCGACTCGGAGCGATCGATTACTTCATGTTTTATAATAATTAAAGATAGAGTGATAAAATCATTATCAATTCAATTATTATTTTCAAGAATTTTTAACTAAAATTCTTCTTAAAATCGATTATTTTTTAATAATTTTCGAAAAAGTTCTTTGACAATTTTCAAATCCATTTCTTTACAATATTCAATTTTACGAAATTTCAATTATTTGTAAATTCTTCAATTAAATATAGGTATATTAGAAAATAAGAACTTTAAATAATTACAAAAAACATCCTCAATTAAACTTTCTCAAAAAAAATTTATTCCACAGAATTGTTAGTTAAAAATATGAAAAATTCAAATTTTGAAAGATTTTAATCTGAAGCCTTTTCAAAATTGAATTATTTCTAAAAATTTACACTCCTAATGCTTTTAATATTCAATTGAGGCCTTGGATCCAATAACTCGCCCGACGCTCGGAGGAACGAGCAACTGCCAGTCAGTGAGCAGTGAGCGCCTCTGGGCCACTCACTGCTACCCGACTGGCATTAGCGCGAGTCTCCGAGCGTCGGGCGAGTTATTGGATCCAAGGCCTCAATTATAATCTAAAATTTTAACTGAAATCCATTTTTAAATCAATGTTTATAAGAAAATTCTACTAGAATTTAATTATTTAAATACAAAAATAAATAATTTATTGAATAATTACATGTTTCTTAAAATTGAATTCTTTTAAAGAATTGTATCAATCAATTTTCAAATAATTTGAATTCTTTTGCAAAATTTTATTAAAATAGTAGATATTAAAAATAATTAAATTAGGGAAAATTTTTGAAAATAATTGAAATTTTGCCAAGAAATTTATTAAATTTTTTGAAAATAATTCAATTTTAGAGAAAAATTTTATTATTTATAAAGATAATTGATAATTTACGCAAAGAATTGCATTCAAAATTTTGAATGCAATAATTTTATTCTTTAAAGAAATTTAACTAAAAATTTATTAAAAATAATATTTAAATTCTAATAAATAAATTGTAGCAAAGGTTATTAAAATAATTAAATTTCTTTGATAAATTTTAATAAAATTTTTAAGAATAATTACATTTTTCGAGGAATTCGATTAAAATTGAATTAAAAATAATTGAAATTCTGCAATTAGCTTTATTATTTATCAAAATAATTGAATTCCTAATAAGAATTTTATTATTTGCCAAAAAAATTAAATACCTGTAAAAATTTTATTATTTATGAAAATAATTGAATATTGCGAAGAAATTTATACAAAAATTTGTAAATAATTTTTATTTTTTGAAAATAATTAAAGGTTTGTGTAGAATTTTAGTAGACTTTTTTTTAAATAATTGAATTCTTTCAGAAAATTTTATTAGAATAGTATAGATACCTATTAAAAATCATTGAATTGAGGAAAAATTTTGAAAATAATTGAAATTTTTGCAAGAATTTTATTAAAATTTTTGAAAATAATTGATATTTCGGAGAAGAATTTAATTATTTCTAAAAATAATTGAAATTTTGACGAGAATTTTTAAAAATTTTTGAACATAATTAAATTTTTGCGAAGAATTTTATTACTTTTGAAAATAATTGAATTCCTTCAATCATTTGTAATTTCCCTAAAATTATCCAAATTATATCGTACCTATAATTTACGTACTTTACGGACCTTTTTTCAAAAAAACGGACTTTTACGGGATTTACGGACCTAGTTCGAGCCCTGATATCGTTTATTATTTTTATTTTTATTATTATTATTTTCTTAACTATCTTAATGAGAATAATAATTTTAATTATTAATAGTAATGATTGAAAATATAGGGAAATTATTTTTAAAAAACCTCTTTATTACGAAAAATATGTCATCACGAAGTTATTTGTGATTCAAATTGGATTTGAATAGTTTTGCGAAATTCGGGGAATGTTCCATTCGTCAAATTGGTTCGAATCGCTTCGAAAAACTGAATGTAGTGATGAGTGTTGTGTCTGGAAAAAAAATAGTTTTCGGTTAGTCGATAGGTGAATAGATGTTTGAATAGATGATTGGGTAGATGATCAAATTTTTAGATGTTTGAATAGATGATTGGTTATTGATGAAAAAAAAATTGAATACGTACATCATTAGGAGTACTTGTGCGAGTAATTCTTTCGCTTGGCATAAATGGTGAATGTAGGCTTTCGTGTGATTTTTGCAGGTTAGACAAATGCAATTTGGAGAAATCGGTGAAAAATCCTCGGCGTACCTTACATGAAAAAAATTTATGGTTGAAAACAATAATTTGTATAGGATAAATTAAGTTAATTGAAATAGATCATTTTTTGCTTGCAAATATGAAAGTTGTTTCATTTTCTCAATACCTGGTATTAGAAATAAAAAAAAATGTTAGTACTTTCTTTTTACCTTTTATCGTTTAGTGATATTTCAGGTAGCGTTTCATCAATTTGGTGTAAGTTATTACTCTCATACTGAAAGGTAAAGGCTTTTAATTGTTCTGTTATTAAGAAAGCGTACGAGGAATCGAATACATCCACTCCTAGTCCTATTAAATCCAAAACAACAATTGGATTCCAACATCCCATTGTTACTCGCAGTTTTTCTTTTGGTAGCATATTCTGAAAATAAAATGAAATGTAATATCGCTTTTTTATACTTTTTATTTTTGGAATTTCTTTGAAAATTAGAAAATTGAGCATTCTAATAAAATGGTAAATAAATGATTTATTTGCAGTTTGGAAATTTTCGTTTGCACTAGGAAAAATATTCTTACTATAGTGTGTTGCATTATTTTGTTTATTTCTTCGTATTTTATTGCGGCAGTCTCGGGTCCATTTCGATGTAGTCCGTCTATAACGTAACCGAGTAAATCTTTATTTTTTAAATACTTTATACATTTTTCCCTCTCAATGATTTCATAGCCACCTTCCACTGCTCCTAGAATTCCGCTAAATTTTAATGTTTCCGAATTATTGTGTTTTTCTAAGCATTTTTCTAATAAATATTGACTACGCCTCACTGATTTTTGTGCACGTTTTCCAGTGCTATCGCGATCCGTGTCTCCATCACATAATGCAAGGTAGATATCTGGTTTTATTATATCAACAATTTCCATATATTCCTCAGCAGTTAGAGAATGTCTTCCGTGTCGCGACCAAACTGCAATTGATTCTGTTTGTTGAAAACCCTTGTTTGTTAATTCGCTCGGATCTTGAATTGATAGAAATGTCAAATGTTCCTGTAAATTTCGACTTTATTTCAAGAAATATTTTTTAAAAAATATTTAATAATTAAAAAATAGTAAGGTTTAAAAAATATTAAAGTAGCTTTTTCGAATATTGAAAAAATATAAAATTAGCTTTTATTTAAATAATATGAAATTAACTTTTCCAAAAAGAAAAAATTCAAGATTTTATATTCTGCAAATATTTACAAATTTACAAAAGTTACAAACCTGCATATTTACAAATTCTAGGAAGGAATTGTATTGTTTTAGAATCTCCTTCATGGATATAATTGTCGGCAATGAAATTGATAGAATTTGTTGCTTAATGTTTACCCCTGTCATTCGTTGAACTTCTTTAGTTAAATGTGGTATACTGCCTTTCTAAAAGAATGGAAAAATTGAGAAAGAATTTTTTGTTTTATAAACAGTGTATTTAGAAGTAAATTTTTTTTCTTTTTACCTTTGTGTACATTAGTAAAAGGGGGGTTGCAAATTTCATTCCTGGGAATCTTTTGAATCCAGACAGTGTTCCAATTCGTGGAGAACATTGTTCAATGCAATCGGTTGTAAAATTCATAATTATTTCTTTAGAATGAGAGTCGTTATTGTCGTTATTGTGTTTTTAAAAATTTTTAATTTTTGAGGTTGTATTGCAAATTTATACTTAAAATAGATTGTAAAAAAAAATTTGCACTTAAACCACTATTTTTGAGTTTATTATTTACTCTCCTAGAATTTTTTTAGTACAGTTTTTAGTTTATTTGGTTAATTCATTCAATTTATGCAATTTATATATAAATTTGAAAATTTTTTAGGTTAGAATGTAGTTATGATTATTTTTCAGTTTTTCAATTTTGAATTAAGATAAAATCGGTGTTTATCTAGATTCGAAGGGTTTACTTGGAAAAGAAAAACACAAACAACTTAAGATATTGTCAACTTTAACTTAATATTCCACAAGTAAATTGATTGTTTTTATTTATCATTTTTAACTTTCCACGTGTTTGTTTTTTGCAATGTGCTTGGTAGGTAAAACTGTATCGACCGATAAATGGTGAAGAAGAAAATTCCTTAAAATTTGTAATAAAAATTTGAAAACTATCAAAAGTTCGTTCCCTTTGTTTAATGAGAAGAATTCAAAAAAATATTTAAGAATACAAAAGATTACTTTATTTGACTTCTTTTTTACTATTTTCAAAATTTGCATTTGTTTATATCCACGAATATAAATTAAATAAATCTACACGAATGTAAATTCTCGGGTGTTAGACTGTAAGGTATTTTGTAGGGGCGCGTGAACAGCCCCTGCGTAACATCTTCTATGGATACTCCAAAGTTATTATGTATTTTATTTTCATTTTTTCATACGTCTTTTATAATTATTTTATTCCAATTATATTTTTTATTTTCCACCTTCCTTTTAATTATTTTTCCGGTAATGTTTAATTTGCCCTTTTTTTACATGATTATTGTCCTAAGTTAAAACGCCCCTAAAGATTTGAACGTTCAAATGAACGAAAAAAATGTTCTATTTAAATGTTTTCAAGAATTATCAGAATTAAATTGAAAATAAAATTAATTCAACAATCATAGAAAAGAATTAAATTTCTAGAATAGCAAAAAAATATAGGGTAAATGCACTAGTAGTCGGATACTTAAGGATACGATCTTATATTATGCTTCTTTCTTGAAATAACAAATATCTACTGTGTTTATAAGCACATTATCAATTAAAGGAGTTCTTCAGGATTAAAAATCATATAAGTTATTAATATAATATTTAAATCCTATAAGTTTTAATATTTATGATTATATAATTATCAACAAAACTTTGTGCTACTCATTGCGCTACTCGAAAATGGTTGTATCTATAGTCAGACACCATGATTTTTAAAATATTAAATAAAATATTTCTTGTTTAATTATTTTGTAAAATAACACTTATTTCATAAAATATAAACTTTACACATTCGTCCAGTATATTTCTTTAAGTAATTATCACAATGCATTATTATATTTATTTGACAAAAAACACGAAAGTGTCCGACTACTAGTACTGTCCGACTATACCCACACTTATACCCTATATTTTGCAATAAGTTTCAAATTTTAACGAAATTTAAAAAAAAATTTGTTCATTTGAACATTTGAGACTTTAGGAACATAAGTTAGATTGAAATTTCTTTTAAGTAATTATTTCGTTCTAGGTAGTTTATTATATTAGCAAAAATATGGACAGAAGAAATAGATATTATCAACATAATTATTGATTTTTCTTTTATTTTATCAAATATATTTGAGACATTCCACGCCAAATCAACATCTCGTAAAAATTCACATTTTTTATTTGTATCAAACATTTTTTATCTTTTAGTACTACATAGTTGAAAAAAAGCTTCATGATTTTTTTCAAATTTTTTTACCCAGCCGTTTACAAGATACGAATTTTTAAAAATTGTACGTTTTAAAGAAATTTTTTTTTGAATGCTTATAACTTCTACAAATTTGGATCAATTTTAAACTTTCTTATATAAAAATTGTTTGTTTTTTCATAAACTTTTCAAAAATTTTATGAAAAAAAATTTTCAAAAATTTTTTACTGCATTTTTAAAAATTTTAAGATTAAAATTTAATTTTTAAAACTGTTTGTATCCTTCGATTTTTTTTAAATTCCAAAACAACTACTTCCCTTTACGCAAATTTTAAGCCTTGTCCCGTCGTGAGTAAATAATTTTTACTATTTTTTCAGAATTTTTCTAAATTATTGAAATTCACACGGAAAAAAAAAGTTCGAGGATTATTCGGGAACTTCGTTCTTAACTCTTGGATACGGCGGGTAGTACACAGATAACTAAAGGTTGCCTCGTTTAAATATGTAATTTACTATTTCTCTACAAATTATAACTATTTCACCACTTCTCGGCAAACTGTTCTTGAAAAAGTCGGGAACTGTTCAAGAAAATCGAAAAGTTAGGCGAATGCAAGAAAAAATGGATTCTGCTTCCCCCCTCCCACTTCCCCTCCTTGACACGTCCGCACACATCCTTGAAGGTCACATACAATTTTTATTTTTTATTAAGTTTCTGAAATAGAAAAAACCATATTAGAGAAAAATCGACGGCGGCTGGAACAGAACTCGCGTACCCGAGAATAGAAGTCCGGCGTCTTATCCAGCTAAGCTAAACAGGCGAGTTAAATACCTCAGCATAAAATAAATATATAAGGCACGCAAGTCTTACTGACGGTGAGACTTGTTGAGACTGGTGCGCACAGTTTCTGCGCACCAAGATTCCTTGACGAGTTCCCGAAAATTTCAGAAACAGTTGCGGCCAGTGCCATGAACTTTACATGAGAAAGTAATGAAAAAGAGACTAATGGACTATTTATAGCTTTTTCTAATACAGTTCCCGAATTTCTTTCAAACATTCATTGATTACCATTGAATGTTCGTCGTTAGTTCAGAGCTGTTACCACGTATCCAAGAGTTAGGAAATAATTCCTGAAACATCTGGGAACTTTTTTTTTCCGTGCAGTATTTACTCATTCAGCCGTTGCATGCATTGTGCAACAAACTGATTTTACAGGATTCAGTTTTGCCTAATATCAATTGAAATACAATTCCTTCAAAAGTCTAGTGATACAAAAGAATAAATTTTTTAAAATGTTATTTTATTGTCTTATGAAATTAAATTTTTAGTACCTATTGGTACCTAATCATAAATATAAGAATCGTTTTAAATCATTTTTTTGACACTTTCTTTAAATTTCTGCTGAAAATTATGAGAAAACCAGTTTTCTATTGTAGGGGAGGATGGGGCAAGGATAGTTACACGGAGAAAAAGGAATAGTTGACACATCCAGATACATGGATATCACAACCATATTGTTGGAGCAACAAAAGATCTATGGTTGGGTGATCCATTGTAATGGAAATGGGAAACAAAAAAATTTGAATCACTTAATTAATTAAATTCTATGTCACTTGAGATATTTTATACACATTTTTGTTAATTAATACACACTACTTATTGAATAACAGCATATTTACGAAATAAATTATTAACCGATGGGGGAGACACGAACCCTAGACCTAACGCATACTAAACACTAACGCTATCCACTACACTATACACACAACTACAATATCTGAGCATATAATATTCCTTATATACTCTACACATATTTCATGAAAATGAATTTACATAAACACAAATAGACAATAACGATAATAAATAATAAACAATTGTAACACTATTTATACACAATAAACTCACAACGCGATTATATAGACGTGACAGGAAACCGACGCGACGGACAAATTGAGACGACCATTTTTAAATGGATGCCATGATAATGAATTGCGCGCAACATGTATCGAAATTTTGAACTAACTATATGGATCTCCCAACTAAAGTTTATATGGATGAGGCAGCCATATGTGAAAATCCATAGCATGAATTGTAAGCCCAACCATGCCTATGGATGTCACATCCATATTTGATTCAACAATATAATATGGCTCCCTCATCCATTGAATATGGAATGTGCTTCCATTCTGAAAGTTGTCTCTTCCATTGAATTGGATGACACAACAATATTCTGCTCAACAATATTTTTATGGATATCTCTTCCAGACCTTTTCTTTCCGTGTAGGTAAGACCTTTTCGGATCTTGCAGCCAAACTTGAATATGTATTTGCAAACGAAAAGTATTTTGGGAAAGCCTGGTTATTTGGCTATAATTTTGCTATATATTATTTTACTGTAAACTCAAATCTCTACGAGATACGAATGAAAAAGTAAAAAAAAAATTTTAACTAATCCTTGTCCCAGCACCGGGGCAAGGATAGTTAAAAGAATCCGAATGCTAAAAATGTTATAGAAAATCAGTAAATTTTCGTTTTCTTTATTTGATTGGATTTAGACTATTCAATATTGATAGGGTAACTGTTTTAGTTCCTGCGGCATTTCAGCCAAGATATCTGTTGCACACTGAAAAAAAATATATTTATGGTACTGACATAAATATAGCCAATTCTCACATATTATATTGGTGGATATGGAACTGACATACAGTATTGCTGTTTCAGCCATACGGAGTGTAGAACAGCCATATGTATGTGCACCCTAAAAAAAGGAATCTTGATTTGATGCGGATTCCTCTAAACTGAATGCATATTTTCCTCTTATATATGGTATCAAAAGTAATATACTTCACTTTAGAGGATTTTCCTCTTTAATATTATTTGCTTATTATGGTTATGAGATAATAAATAAAAGCTTTTTTGATGCACTGAATTAAGCGTTTTTAATTAAATAAATATATTTAATTATTAATAGTTAATTACTTACATTAATTAATATATTTATTTGTTTATTTACTTCATTTGAATTCAATGTATTTGACATTTAAACCTCAAAAAATTATTTTGTTTTATTATTAACCACCAAAGAATAAAAATAATATACATTCAAGTTGAATACTTTTGTTTTGAGAGGAAAACTTGAGAGGATATTAGAAGAGGATTTTTCCTCTAACTATGAGATTACTTTTTTTAGGGTGTGGAGAACACCAATACTGTATTTTAAGAACAGCAATACAGTATTGCTGTTTCAGCTATACAGTAGGATCTTTGAATAGTGCAGTTCTGAACAGTGCAGTCATTAGTGAGTTGAGTAGACAAGGGGTTTCGGGGGCAAAGAGAAAGGGAATCTGTGACGTCAAATACAGTGCCGTCGCTCATTTGATTACTTAGTATCATTTAGTGGTGCCCGGTATTTAGTAGTGGGGGACCCTTAATTTTCTTGACACAGACCTGAATGTTTTAGTTTTTGCTTGCTTTGAACCAAGTTCGACCATATGAAAATGGCGTCCATTTTCTCCCATGTGCAAACATAACCGCTGATCCCATGCGTTATTTTTGCCCAAGGGAGAAAACGGCCGCCATTTTCATATAAGTCGAACAAGTGAGTGACTTTTATTCCCTGTCGTCTGCTATCTGAAATCGCCACTTTTGTGCATTAGGAATAAAAAATAT